ATCCTTTCCTTCAAGGCTCAGGGGTCCAAGATTATCTTCTGTGTCTGTATTATTGGTTTCCCTTTTCTTTGTTGAAGAGGGTCTGTGCAATCCTTCTGCCTAGTCCGCCATCTTGCCCCGCCTCTCAGGATATTAATTTTTATGTGTACCATTTAATTGTTAATGACTTCCAATTTTCCTAGATTCATACTTCATACATTCCACGTTCTAATTCTTAATTGATGTTTATAAATGTTTCTTCTCATTTTGAGTCATGGCACACCAGCAAATTAAAGTTCTGATAGCTTTATTCTATTCATATCCTTAAGGTCAACTCTACTTTAACCAGTCTTCTGATTGCCTCCCAACATGATGGGCTCATCTTTTGGCACTATATCAGACAATGATCTGTGGCTCCTAATAAGGTCTTTATTGGCCAATTCTTTTAGAAGTAGATCACCAGGTCCTCCTTCCCAGTCTGTCTTAGTCTGGAAGCTCTGCTGAAACCTGTCCACCATGGGTGACCCTGCTGGTGTTTGAAATACCAGTGGCATAGCTTCCAGCCTCACAGCAACACACGAGCCACCACAGTATGACAAACAGACAGTTGGCGGAGTTTCTAAATGGTTACTTATAATTTTTAACATTCATACTTGACTCAAAAATTTTTGTGTCTGTTTTTCTTAGAACAATACAGATCTTAGACTGTTTAAGTTAGATCACCATCTTTTCATCTTTGTATAGAATTATTAACTACTGTTCTGTTTCCACACTGTTTTATATCCCCAAAGCAAACTGTAATTATTGTTGCTTAAATAGTTAATGCTTATATAGATTTCATTTTTATTTTCTGCAGCTAGATCATTCCTCTGGATTCTTCTTAAAATATGTCCTCTTTGTGTTGTTCATACAAAGCTGTAGTTTTAACTAATTCTTGAATGACAGTAATTGGATTATGAAGTTCTAGATTGACAGTCATTCCCCCTTAGCACTTTGTTGCTGCTGAAGAAGTATGGTAATTAATCTGTTGTTCTTTCATGTCTGTTTGCTTATAATATTTTATCTTTGCTTATCAATCTTTTTCTCAGTAGATTCTGCATTTTATATCTTGCTTAAAAATTCTTCTTATACTATACAGTTATAAATATATTCTAGTATATATTTTTCTAATGCTTTATAATTTATTTATTACATTTCCCTTTTTTTTCCATTTGAAACTTATTTTTATATATGATGTAAGGTAATAATCCAGCTTTATAAAAAAAAATGACTATTGAATTCAAATAACTCATGGAATACTAAGAAAAAGTTCATTCTGAGATATATTTCTTTTAGTGCCCTTGTGGAGTGGGGTGAATGTTGCTGGTGTTGCTCTGAAGAATCTGAACCCTAAGTTAGGAACTGATTCAGACAAAGAACAATGGAAAAATGTCCATAGACAAGTTGTTGACAGGTAATAGTATTTACTGAATTTCTTAATGCTTTTATAATCCAGCCTAAAAACAAATTTTATAGATAAAAAGTCTACAATCTTTGCTATTTGTGAGATAAATAACTATACCTTTGAAAAATCTCCCAAATCAGACTTATTTCATGCATAACTTTCTTTTGGGGACATTTTTCAAAAAGAAAAGTTTTTGTCACTCTATGAAAACTAAAATATATTTCAGAGGTAATGCAGCGTAGTGATTCTGAGCCTGGGCTTTGGAGCCAGACTGGTTTCACCATTTACTAGTTGTGTGATCTTGGGAAGTTATTTAAACTATCAAAAGCTCACTTTCCTCATCTTTAAATAGGATAATAACAAACCACTTTAGAGGGCTGTTAAGATTAAATGAGTTAAAAGACATACAATGCTTAGCACAGTGTCTGGACTCATTATTACAACTTGATGGTAAGAATCATGACTCTGATCGGATGTACTTATTAATGAAATGTCTAACTTGTATACATCAGTCTTAACAGCACACTGATTCTCCTTCATGTTTTAGCTAAGTTACGTATCAGTAGAAGCTATGGAACTTAGGAATCACTTTTTTATATTCAAAATTTGGATGATGAAATCTACAAAAACTGAAAGTCCACTCTATGTATATCTATGATAATAACCATAGAAAACTATGTAACAATTAGGGCAGAGACTAAAAAGGCACACAACACAAAAAATGATTATGGGTGAGTTTTGATTCTCTAAATGCATTTTAATTTAAAATATTATAATTTATTTTCTGATTATAAAAATATATGCCACCAACATGAAAACATTGTTCTACATCCTACTATGGTGAGTAGCAACTGTAGTTTTAAAAGTTTCCAAGTGGCCAACAATTGGCTTCTCCTCACCCAGAGCAAAGAAGAATGAAGAAGACCAAAGACACATGGACACAATTAGTCCAAAGGACTAGTAGACCATGCAGGCCTCAGCCTACATGGCCGTGGAACCCAGCTACCACCGTCAACCACTCAGAAAGGGATCAGTGCAGAAGATCTTGGATAGAGTGGAAGAAAAATACGGAACAAAATTCAAAATCATAAAAATGCCCATACTTACTGGTCTGACAAAGACAGGTGAAACCCCAGAGACTGTGGCCCCTAGTTACCCTTCAGACCTGGAACTGAACTCATTCCTGCTGCTTCCAGCCAAACAGTAGACAGGCATATAAGGTGAAGAGTTACACCAGGTAGGTACGCTCCTTAGAACAACTAATCATGTAAGATCAGAAGGGCAGTATTTGCACAGGGAGCTAGCTCAGAGGGCAGGATTGTATAGGAAAGAAGGACACAGAGAAAAGGTAGCCACCGGGAGGAAGTAAGAAGAGACCTGTTACATTATGGGGATTGCAATCAATGTCATGAAACAAAATGTGTATAAACTGCACAGAAAATGAATTTGCTCTGTAAACTTCCATCCAAATCACAATTAAAAAAAAAAATTGCCACCAATAGTGTTGTGAGTTCAGACTGATAATAAAACTTACAAGACATAGTAGGCTTTAACCTACTATGTCTTGTAAGTTTTATTATCAGTCTGAACTCATCTAATGCTGCTATAACAAAAATACCATAAATGGGTGGCTTTAACAAACAGAAATTTATTTTCTCACAGTTTATGTTGCTGTTGTTATGGCCGTCTAGTCGGACCTGACTCATAGTGACCCCTTCTTGGGTTTCCAAGGTGGTATCACTATGGAAGTAGATTGCCCAATCTTCCTTCCGAGGAGTGTTGTTGTTATTGTTGTTATGTGCCATCGAGTCAGCCCCGACTCATAGCGACCCCTCCTTGGGTTTCTGAGGCAGTATCACTACAGAAGTAGGATTGCCCAGCCTTCCTTCCGAGGAGTGGCTGGTGGGTTTGAACCCCCAGCCTTCTGGTTAGCAGTCAAGTGCCTTAGGCACTCCACTACCAGAGCTCCTCTCACAATTTAGGAGGTTAGAAGTTCAAGTTCAGGGTGCTGGTGCTAGAAGACTTTCTCACTTTTTTGGCTCTAGAGGAAGGTCCTTGTCTCTTTGACCTTTTGCTCTTGGGCAATTTTCATATGGCTTGACGTCTCTCTTCCCCCATCTCTGCATGTA